CTTTTCTCATTTTGTCTGTCATAGTTGACGTGTACCTATGATGAAAAATACAGGCCTCTCTCATCTTTTTAAGTGGGAGAACTTGCACAATTGGTGGCTGACTAAATACTTTTTTCCCCACTGTATATATATATATATATATTTTTTATATACACTACCGGTCAAAGGTTTTACTACACTACTCATTTATTTTTACTATTTTCTACATTGTAGAATAATAGTGAAGACATCAAAACTATGACATAACACATATGGAATCATATAGTAACCAAAAAAGTGTTTAACAAATCTAAATATATTTTATTTTTGAGATTCTTCAAATAGCCACCCTTTGCCTTGATGACAGCTTTGCACACTCTTGGCATTCTCTCAACCAGCTTCATGAGGTAGTCCTGGAATGCATTTCAATTAACAGGTGTTGAATTTATTTCCTTCTTAATGTGTTTGAGTCAATCAGTTGTGTTATGACAAGGTAGAGGGGTATACAGAAGATAGCCCTATTTGGTAAAAGACAGTCCATCATTACTTTAAGACTTGAAGGTCAGTCAATACGGAAAATTTCAAGAACTTTGAACGTTTCTTCAAGTGCAATCGCAAAAACCATCAAGCGCTATGATGAAACTGGCTATCATGAGGACCGCCACAGGAATGGAAGACCCATAGTTACCTGTGCTGCAGAGGATAAGTTCATTAGAGTTACCAGCCTCAGAAATTGCAGCCCAAATAAATGCTTCACAGAGTTCAAGTAACAGACACATCTCAACATCAACTGTTCAGAGTGGACTGTGTGAATCAGGCCTTCATGGTCGAATTGCTGCAAAGAAACCACTACTAAAGGCCACCAATAAGAATAAGACACTTTCTTGGGCCAAGAAACACAAGCAATGGACATTAGACCAGTGGAAATGTGTCGTTTGGTCTGGGGTCCAAACTGGAGATTTTTGGTTCCAACCGCCGTGTCTTTGTGAGACATGGTGTGGGTGAATGGATGATCTCCGCATATGTATTTCTCACCGTAAAGCATGGAGGAGGAGGTGTTATGGTGTGGGTGTGCTTTGCTGGTGACACCGTCTGATTTATTTAGAATTCAAGGCACAGTTAACCAGCATGGCTACCACATCATTCTGCAGCGATACGCCATCCCATCTGGTTTGGGCTTAGTGGGACTATCATTTGTTTTTCAACAGGACAATGACCCAACACACCTCCAGGCTGTGTAAGGGCTATTTTAACAAGAAGGAGGGTGATGGAATGCTACATCAGATGACGTGGCCTCCACAATCCCCTGACCTCAACCAAATTGAGATGGTTTGAGATGAGTCGGACTGCAGAGTGAAGGAAAAGCAGCCAACAAGTGCTCAGCATATGTGGGAACTCCTTCAAGATTGTTGGAAAAGCATTCCTCATGAAGCTGGTTGAGAGAATGCCAAGAGTGTGCAAAGCTGTCAAAGGCAAAGGGTGGCTATTTGAAGAATCTCAAATATAAAATATATTTTGATTTGTTTAACACTTTTTTGGTTCCTACATGATTCCATATGTGTTATTTCATAGTTCTGATGTCTTCACTATTATTCTACAATGTAGAAAATAGTAAAGAAATAAAGAAAAACCCTTTCAGGTAGGTGTTCTAAAACTTTTGACCGGTAGTGTTTTCATTTGCAAAAAATTTTGCTTTGTCATTATGGGGTATTGGGTGCAGATTGATGAGGGAGAAAAACAATTTAATCCATTTTAGAATAAGGCTGTTATGTAACAAAATGTGGAAAAAAATCAAGGGGTCTGAATATTTTCCCAATGCACTGTATATGTAATTTCCACCACACCTTGTCATTTCCACCACACCCATATTTTTTTAGATAAATGAGAATACTATTTATAATTTACATTGATTGATTTGTTTTAGACAGGGAAATCATATGGTTGTTATAATAATCTCACAAAAAGGTTGTGTGGAAGTATTATATTTTTCATGATAAATAAATGTTTTCAGCTGTCACAAAGGCAAGTTTGTACATTCATGGGTGGTGTTGAATTATTAATATTAGGAAAACCTTAAAAATATCTTAAAATAATATTCAATACAAGTTAATGTACAAATGTATAAGAAATGTGTTATAAATAAATTGTATGATATTTAATTTTAAACTAAAATGGATGTATAATGGCTATCTGGGAAAATGACAAAAATATATATATTCCTGAACAGTATGATCGCAGCCATTATCAGGTATCCAGGGTTTATATACATTGGGAGTACGGGAGGGGACTAAGCACGCACCCCTTAGGGGCCCCCGTGTTGAGGATCAGCGTGGCAGATGTGTTGTTACCTACCCTTACCACCTGGAGGCTGCCCGTCAGGAAGTCCAGGATCCAGGTGCAGAGGGAGGTGATTAGTCCCATTACCAACATGTTTCAAGCAGACCACCATAGTCTCTGTGCCCAAGAACACTAAAATAACCTGCCTAAATGACTACCGACCCGTAGCACTCACGTCTGTAGCCATGAAGTGCTTTGAAAGGCTGGTCATGGCTCACAACACCATTATCCCAGAAATACTAGACCCACTCCAATTTGCATACCGCCCCAACAGATCCACAGATGATGCAATCTCTATTGCACTCCACACTGCCCTTTCCCACCTGGACAAGAGGAACACCTATGTGAGAATGCTATTCATTGACTACAGCTCAGCATTCAACACCATAGTGCCCTCATGTTGGTATCTACTAACCAAAATAGCTTGTTAGCAGCTAGCAAACAGGGCTTACCTTATCACACAGCTCCAGCGATGCCTCTCACTTACAGAGGTCGGACAACAATAAAATATGCTTATCGGAGTAGTGGTTACAATCCAGTACATGCACAGAACCATACTTGGTTCTGATCGACGAAGAGACCTAAGGTTAGCTAGTTCACTACAAATGTTTTAATGTATTTAAAAATGCTAAGGTAGCTAGCTTGGTAATTCCGAAAAATGCTAAACAAGAATACACACGAGAAACACTATCAATTATTTACATGAGAAACTAAAAAGGCTATAATATCTACTTGCTAGGTTACTTGCTACTTGTTGATGTGTTTGCATTGAGAAATGTGCCTTGAGGGATGACGTCAAAGCTTGCGACAAGATGTGTAGTTCTGTATGATAGCCACATTAGCGGCTAATTAGCATTTCGTTTTGGGGGCTTAATTACAGGTGAATATATTGATAAAAGTTACATTGTCCAAAAGAGATTTGCGCTGTTATCAAAACGTAAGCCTACACGAAACACAGACGATTTACACTATATATACAAAAGTATGTGGATTCAGCTATTTCAGCCACACCCGTTGCTGACAGGTGTATAAAATCAAGCACACAGCCATGCAATCTCCATAGCCAAACATTGGCAGGAGAATGCCCTTACTGAAGAGCTCAGTGACTTTCAACATGGCACTGTCATAGGATGGCACCTTTCCAACAAGTCAGTTCGTCTAATTTTTTGCGTAATGCCAAGCGTCAGCTGGAGTGGTGTAAAGCTTGCTGCCATTGGACTCTGGAGCAGTGGAAACGCTTCTCTGGAGTGATGAATCACGCTTCCCCATCTGGCAGTCCAACGGACGAATCTGGGTTTGGCGGATGCAAGGAGAACACTACCTGACCCAAATCATAGTGCCAACTGTAAAGTTTGGTGGAGGAGGAATAATGGTCTGGGGCTGTTTTTCATGGTCGGGCAAGGCACCTTAGTTCCAGTGAAGGGAAATCTTAATACTACAGCATACAATGACATTCTCGACAATTCTGTGCACAAAGCGAGGTCCATAAAGAAATGGTTTGTCGAGATCGGTGTGGAAGAACTTGACTGGCCTGCGCAGAGCCCTAACCTCAACCCCATCAAATACCTTTGGGATGAATTGGAACGCCGACTAATCGCCCAACATCAGTGCCCAACCTCACTAATGCTCTTGTGGCTGAATGGAAGCAAGTCCCCGCAGCAATGTTCCAACAGCTAGTGGAAAGCCTTCCCAGAAGAGTGGAGGCTGTTATAGCAGCAAAGTGTGGACCAACTCCATATTAATGCCCATGATTTTGGAATGAGATGTTCAGCGAGCAGGTGTCCACATACTTTTGTTCATGTAGTGTATGAAGTAGTTCTAAAATCCCCAACGCAAAAATGAATGGTGAAAAAACGTTTGGAACCATTTCCGGGTTTTACCGCAAGGTTTTATGGGTATTATGACTCATACTGTGGTACTCAATTCATGCACTGCGTTCATGCATTGTGCATATCCAGACCTCGTTACGACTAGCCCTACATGTGTAGCTACTGCAGTTGTTTGACACCATCAATAATTGTACTTCCTGGTGACAGGTATGCTACTGCCATCAGCTGGACATTATTGCAACATCACTGACATGAACCAATGACTGATTTTATGACTGATAAACCACAACATGTGGTTTTGGTGCACCTAAGTGGTGCACCAACATGTGGTTTAAAAATCCACATAAGAAATTTTGAGAACTTCACAGATGGAGGGAATGAAGTATACATAGTACGTTTAAAAATGTAAAGCAGGCCTACACACACACACACACACACACACACACACACACACACACACACACACACAGAGGGGGACGGATATATCAAGAACTACAACATCACTGTAGTGAATTTATTGACAGAAATTGAAAATACTTTCCATAGTAAGAAAATACATTTTCATCAACAAAATAGAGAATAACAGAACAGTTTGGTCTATATATAGCAATTCATATTGTACATAATAATAATAAGCCATTGTAAAGCCTTTTCAGAATTACCAACATAAGTAGGGAAGTAAAGGTGAACCACAGCAACTATGAAAACAAACCTTCAATACAACTGTAATACCACAGTATTGGGTTGGAGTGTAACAAGTATTTATGTATGTTTATTTTAATTCAACAATAGATATATTGAAGGCCTTTATAGCATTGCTGCTTGGGTACATGGCTATCACCCGGCTTTAACAAATCAAAGGGCAGCTTTGTTTGTCCTCTCCAGGAAGTGCAGATTGACTTGTCTGTCTGCTACTAAGACGGTGCGATTGAGGGCTTTCACCTCTCCTATGCTGGGGTCCGGTCTGATTTCAAACAGCTTGATTATCTGAGGGAGATTAAAAACAAAAATAATGTCATTGTCTGGGTCTCTTCAGGGGTATCCATGCTCACATAACATCCCTGTCCTATAAGCTCATTGACAACACCAAGTTCATGCCTCCACCGCCTACCACTAACTTATGAAACCATGCACCCTAGGGTATTCACACTATTGTAATTGGCTGCAGTAGCCTACACATGTACAGGATGTTCTGTTTTTGTATTTTAATGTAATTTGTGGTTATGTGTGATTATAATGTCCACCTAGGCCTTCATTATATTTGTAAATGAAAAGCAATGGGATGGAAGCTATTTGTAACTGAAAAGCAATGGAAGCCAAGGCAAACTTTTCATTCTAGGACTACCCAATGGACAACACATGTTTATTCAATACTTTTAATAAGTAGCCTGATGATGGTGAGTTCGAAGTTGCCAACTTGCTGCGCAAGACAAGTAGCCTATTATTGAGTAACTTGGTCAAGCATGACGTCTGCAGCAATGTGTATAAAAGCATTTGGTCACATTCCGGCTACAGTTGATTGATAATAAGGTAGGCTATGAGTTGTTCCAATAGTTTGGTAACAGTAGAATAGGTATAGTAGGCTACAATTGCATGTAGCCTAGTAATTGAAGTAGCCTAGCTTACTGTAACTGTTCATCACCTCTGCTATCACCTGTGCTGCTATACACATTCTATACTTTTTCCTATGACACTCAGGTATAAAATCTCTGGCTCTTACCCGTGACAGAGCCAAGTACATCTCCAGTTCAGCTATACGACGACCTACACAGCCCCGAACCCCAAACCCAAATGGGATAGAGCCAAATGGGTTTGGTCGAACTCGGCCATCCCTCAACCAGCGTTCGGGCTTGAACTTCGATGGTTCTGGGAATGTCTTTTCATCCTGGCTGATGGCATAGTGACACATTGTAAACGAAGTCTACAGACACAAGACAGCAGGGAGGGAATTAATTGACAGCACTACACCAACAACGGCATGATTTACATGAATTCAAATGGTGTTTTGTTTTAATAGTTGGGCCAGTTTTAGGCCATTAAAGTGAAGATGTACTTGAAAGTTATTTGTTCCCCTAAAGCTAGACTAACCTTCTTGGTAAAAAAATGTCCGCCAATGATGATATCATTCTCTACCATGATACGTGCATTCAATGGGACCACAGGGTACATTCTGGTTAACAGGAAGTACATAAATTGTGTTAGAGAAAGATAAGGAACTATCAAGAACTCAATCCTTTCCGAAGAAAATATAAATGCTGACATACAAGAGCTAAATTAGGCAATCATACTCATGATGTATACCAGGGTTTCCCAAACTCGGTCCTGGTCACTTCCACAGTTCTTACCTCAGTGCTTCCTTGATGACAGCCCTGAGGTACGGCATACGGTTGACGTCTTGGGCAGATGGGATCTTGTCTCCTGGTATGCAGTGGGACACCTCCTGATAAAGGGTGTCCTGCACATTGGGGTCCCTGGACAGTAGGTGCATGGCCCACATTATGGTATTGGAAGTCTTCAAGTATGACAACAACAACAGTGTTAGTGAATTCAAGCCCTTATGGTACAACAGATCGAGATTGTAGTGAAACTACATGGATTTGCTAACCGTGTCCACTCCAGCCAACAACAGCTCAGCGACACTGCCGTACACCTCCTTGTTGGTCATGTTGGTGTTGGAGAGAAGGTACGTTAAATATTCTCCCTCGACTTCCTGGTCTGTGTCCACTCGCTTCTGAATTGCCTCCATCTTCATGTCAATCAACTTCCCAGCTGAAAACGTCTAGCATTATCTACCTCAGCGGTTCCCAAACATTTTAACTCGGGCCCCCCTTCCAGCATTCGGGAGACATGTCTATTTCTATGGGCACAAGCACTGTTCATGGCACAAACTGTTCACACCCCTCTTGTTGGTGGAGAGAATTTAGCAGTTTTAAAGCAAATGTTCTTGCAATTCTATGAATGTTGCCATGTCTAATGTGTATTCCTGTGATATTTGAGTGACAAAAAAATGACATATTCTATGGGCTAAAAAAAACTTTTTTTTTTAAAAATGGGTTAGTTGATCTGGACATTTCTGACAAGTTATAAATAGCTTTCTAAGGTATGCAATGACTAACATGACAAAAGGAACTGATGATGCACTACCAAATTTCAAGAGGAAGTTTAAAGATGGACTGAGTTGCTTAAAATATTGTTTATACATATATATACAGTGAGGGAAAAAAGTATTTGATCTGCTGCTGATTTTGTACGTTTACCCACTGACAAAGAAATGATCAGTCTATAATTTTAATGGTAGGTTTATTTGAACAGTGAGAGACAGAATAACAACAACAAAATCCAGAAAAACGCATGTCATAAATGTTACAAATTGATTTGCATTTTAATGAGGGAAATAAGTATTTGACCCCCTCTCAATCAGAAAGATTTCTGGCTCCCAGGTGTCTTTTATACAGGTAACGAGCTGAGATTAGGAGCACACTCTTAAAGGGAGTGCTCCTAATCTCAGCTTGTTACCTGTATAAAAGACACCTGTCCACAGAAGCAATCAATCAGATTCCAAACTCTCCACCATGGCCAAGACCAAAGAGCTCTCCAAGGATGTCAGGGACAAGATTGTAGACCTACACAAGGCTGGAATGGGCTACAAGACCATCGCCAAGCAGCTTGGTGAGAAGGTGATAACAGTTGGTGCGATTATTTGCAAATGGAAGAAACACAAAATAACTGTCAATCTCCCTCGGCCTGGGACTCCATGCAAGATCGCACCTCGTGGAGTTGCAATGATCATGAAAACGGTGAGGAATCAGCCCAGAACTACACGGGAGGATCTTGTCAATGATCTCAAGGCAGTTGGGACCATAGTCACCAAGAAAACAATTGGTAACACACTACGCAGTGAAGGACTGAAATCCTGCAGCGCCCGCAAGGTCCCCCTGCTCAAGAAAGCACCTATACATGCCCGTCTGAAGTTTGACAATGAACATCTGAATGATTCAGAGGAGAACTGGGTGAAAGTGTTGTGGTCAGATGAGACCAAAATCGAGCTCTTTGGCATCAACTCAACTCGCCGTGTTTGGAGGAGAAGGAATGCTGCCTATGACCCCAAGAACACCATCCCCACCGTCAAACATGGAGGTGGAAACATTATGCCTTGGGGGTGTTTTTCTGCTAAGGGGACAGGACAACTTCACTGCATCAAAGGGACGATGGACGGGGCCATGTAACGTCAAATCTTGGGTGAGAACCTCCTTCCCTCAGCCAGGGCATTGAAAATGGGTCGTGGATGGGTATTCCAGCATGACAATGACCCAAAACACATGGACAAGGCAACAAAGGAGTGGCTCAAGAAGAAGCACATTAAGGTCCTGGAGTGGCCTAGCCAGTCCCAGACCTTAATCCCATAGAAAATCTGTGGAGGGAGCTGAAGATTCGAGTTGCCAAACTTCAGCCTCGAAACCTTAATGACTGGGAGAAGATCTGCAAAGAGGAGTGGGACAAAATCCCTCCTGAGATGTGTGCAAACCTGGTGGCCAACTACAAGAAACGTCTGACCTCTGTGATTGCCAACAAGGGTTTTGCCACCAAGTACTAAGTCATGTTTTGCAGAGGGGTCAAATACTTATTTCCCTCATTAAAATGCAAATCAATTTATAACATTTTTTACATGCGTTTTTCTGGATTTTGTTGTTGTTATTCTGTCTCTCACTGTTCAAATAAACCTACCATTAAAATTATAGACTGATCATTTCTTTGTCAGTGGGCAAACGTACAAAATCAGCAGGGGATCAAATACTTTTTTCCCTCACTGTATATACACACACACACATACATACATATATACACGTGTATATACATATATATATACATTCATATATATACACACACACACACACACATACATACATGTGTATATATGTGTGTATTTATGTGTGTGTATATGTATATATATATATATATATATATATATATATATATATATATATATATATATAAACAACATTTTAACATCCTCTTGAAATATATGTATACACACACACACACACACACACACACACACACACACACATATATATATATATATATATATATATATATATATGTATACATACACTACCGTTCAAAAGTTTGGGGTCGCTTAGAAATGTTTTCGAAAGAAAAGCAATTTTTTTGTCATTTAAAATAACATCAAATTGATCAGAAATACAGTGTAGACATTGTTAATGTTGTAAATGGCTATTGTAGCTGGAAACGGCTGATTTTTAAGGGAATATCTACATAGACGAGGCCCATTATCAGCAACCATCAGTCCTGTGTTCCAATGGCACTTTGTTTGCTAATCCAAGTTTATCATTTTAAAAGGCTAATTGATCATTAAAACTGAAAACTGTTGTGCTGATTAAAGAAGCAATAAAACTGGCCTTCTTAAGACAAGTTGAGTATCTGGAGCTTCAGCAATTGTGGGTTCGATTACAGGCTCAAAATGGCCAGAAACAAAGAACCTTCTTCTGAAACTCGTCAGTCTATTATTGTTCTGAGAAATGAAGGCTATTAAAAACCAGCCATTTCCAGCTACAATAGCCATTTACAACATTAACAATGTCTACACTGTATTTCTGATAAATTTGATGTTATTTTAATGGACAAAAAAATTGCTTTTCTTTCGAAAACAAGGACATTTCTAAGTGACCCCAAACTTTTGAACGGTAGTGTATATACACGCACACACACATATATATACATATATACAGTACCAGTCAAAAGTTTGGACACCTACTAATTCACAGGTTTTTCAAGACATCAAAACTATGAAATAACACATATGGAATCATGTAGTAACCAAAAAAGTGTTAAACAAATCAAAATATATTTTATATTTGAGATTCTTCAAATAGCCACCCTTTGCCTTGATGACAGCTTTACACACTCTTGGCATTCTCTCAACCATGCCGACCCCTCAGTTTGGGAACCACTGATCTACAGTGGGGAAAAAAAGTATTTAGTCAGCCACCAATTGTGCAAGTTCTCCCACTTAAAAAGATGAGAGGCCTGTAATTTTCATCATAGGTACACGTCAACTATGACAGACAAATTGAGGGGGAAAAAATCCAGAAAATCACATTGTAGGATTTTTTATGAATTTATTTGCAAATTATGGTGGAAAATAAGTATTTGGTCACCTACAAACAAGCAAGATTTCTGGCTCTCACAGACCTGTAACTTCTTCTTTAAGAGGCTCCTCTGTCCTCCACTCATTACCTGTATTAATGGCACCTGTTTGAACTTGTTATCAGTATAAAAGACACCTTTCCACAACCTCAAACAGTCACACTCCAAACTCCACTATGGCCAAGACCAAAGAGCTGTCAAAGGACACCAGAAACAAAATAGTAGACCTGCACCAGGCTGGGAAGACTGATATTGTTGTAATTTTTTTGTCACTCAAATATCATGAATACACATTAGACATGGCAAAATGTATAGAATTGCAAGAAAAGTAACTTGATTTGAAGAAATCAACTGTGGGAGCAATTATTAGGAAATGGAAGACATACAAGACCACTGATAATCTCCCTCGATCTGGGGCTCCACGCAAGATCTCACCCCGTGGGGTCAAAATGATCACAAGAACGGTGAGCAAAAATCCCAGAACCACACGGGGGGACCTAGTGAATGACCTGCAGAGAGCTGGGACCAAAGTAACAAAGCCTACCATCATTAACACACTACGCCGCCAGGGACTCAAATCCTGCAGTGCCAGGCGTGTCCCCCTGCTTAAGCCAGTACATGTCCAGGCCCGTCTGAAGTTTGCTAGAGTGCATTTGGATGATCCAGAAGAAGATTGGGAGAATGTCATATGGTCAGATGAAACCAAAATAGAACTTTTTGGTAAAAACTCAACTCGTCGTGTTTGGAGGACAAAGAATGCTGAGTTGCATCCAAAGAACACCATACCTACTGTGAAGCATGGGGGTGGAAACATCATGCTTTGGGGCTGTTTTTCTGCAAAGGGACCAGGACGACTGATCCGTGTAAAGGAAAGAATGAATGGGGCCATGTATCGTGAGATTTTGAGTGAAAAACCTCCTTCCATCAGCAAGGGCATTGAAGATGAAACGTGGCTGGGTCTTTCAGTATGACAATGATCCCAAACACACCGCCCGGGCAACGAAGGAGTGGCTTCGTAAGAAGCATTTCAAGGTCCTGGAGTGGCATAGCCAGTCTCCAGATCTCAACCCCATAGAAAATCTTTGGAGGGAGTTGAAAGTCTGTGTTGCCCAGCAATAGCCCCAAAACAGCTGCATGGAGGAATGGGCCAAAATACCAGCAACAGTGTGTGAAAACCTTGTGAAGACTTACAGAAAACGTTTGACCTGTGTCATTGCCAACAAAGGGTATATAACAAAATATTGAGAAACTTTTGTTATTGACCAAATACTTATTTTCCACCATAATTTGCAAATAAATTCATTAAAAATCCTACAATGTGATTTTCTGGATTTTTTTTCCTCATTTTGTCTGTCATAGTTGACGTGTACCTATGATGAAAATTACAGGCCTCTCTCATCTTTTTAAGTGGGAGAACTTGCACAATTGGTGGCTGACTAAATACTTTTTTTCCCCACTGTATCTGACCTAATAGGTAATCAACTGAATTCACAATGCACTCTCCAATCCAATGCTTTTTAAATTCTTGAGAAGGTGTGAACAAGTGACGGAATGTATTGTGCCAAATAACTCACAGAATTTGAAGATACCCTCCCAGCCAGCGATGTAGCGCCTGTAGATTGGCAGGATGTTGCGGCTCCACTTAGGCAGCATGGCCACCGGCATGCTGTAGGAGAACATCTGAGCGATGGAGTCGATGAAGTCCTGCGTCTCTACCGGGATCTCTTCCTCCAGACAGCCGATCCGCGTCTCAAACAGGATGGAAGAGATTCCTGAAGAACAGAGATTAGATATTTATCATTGAAACAGATGACGGAAATTCTCATTTGATGGACCAGAGTTGTATGCAGTAACTTACTTTCTATAATAACTTGTAAACTTTTAACTTCATTTAATTAAAGTTTAAGATAAACTTTTGTCTGCAGGTGATCAATGGTAAAGCCATAGACTTATAGAGCACATACACAACATCACTGTTCGACAAATATGTTGTGAGGAATGGATGAGCAGCAGTCGTCAGTATCATTTGCTGGGAAAATTAAAACCCACCCCCACAAAAAAAGCAGTACCATCAATATTCCAGTTCTATATTTTCTATCAATAATCACTGAAGTATTTTGCATTAAATGCTACAAAGACCCACATATTCTGAAAGGCATCAGGCTTTCCTCTTATATGGACGTTTGTTCAAAGCAAGGCAAATCAAAAAACACAAAATATCAAACAAGATAACAAAAAAATAAGGTAAAGTAAGTATTTTGCAAAACAGGTAGCACATGTTAAAATGTAAAAAGACAGGTCTGTAAATGTTGAATACCCCTGTTGTGATAAGTCGTTATGGAGGAGGAAGGAAGAAAACAACTAAAAATGTCAAAACAAACATCTTCACATTTTCACAAATATTCAATAACCGTTAAGATAACCGTGTAGCTGTTAGTAGCAGTAGAAATATTTGTTTGAATGTTAAATAACGAGGCAGAGGCATTGATGCGAGTAACCAGTCTTGTTCAGTATATTGCAATACATCCGGGTATCTCAAGTACATCGGTAAAACACTGGAGTTGCAGTAATGAACATTTACCAACAGATGGCATCAATGTGCCATCTTCCACCCATAACATCTTCCCTTTTATAAAATAGGACAGGAGCTGTCAATTCACTAACAAAACAAACCTAGTAGTAATTTCCAACATGAACAGTTAAGTATTATTATTATTATTATTTTTTTATTTATTTTTTATTAACCACTTAACACATTTTGATACTCTCTTCACTTTTATCTCTGTCTGTCAACAATCCCTAATGGGAAACCTACAGATTAAGTCTTTTTGGTGGCTGGGACAGACGCCCGCAGCGTGAAAAGACAGGGCGCTTGTCTGCGTGGACTGCGGGCTCCCGCACAGGCGTGTCACCTGACTGTCTAAGGGGAGTATTGATGGGCGAGGGAGTGGCCGACCTGTGATCCCCTGGCTCTTCGCCCAGTGCCTCAGGCCCCATGTGACTTGCTGGGGTTCTGTCTTTTGTCATGCGACCCCTATGACCATCCGAGTTCTGAGTGGATGCTGGCTCAGCAATCCGAAGGTCAACCCTGTTACGACGGTACAGTGATCCGTTCACTTCGACCAAGTAGGAGCGTGGTGCCACTTTCTGTACACAGGATCCGAGTCTCCAGAGGCCCGTCCGGTCCCCTGGTAGTGGCTTCATTCGCACCGTTTCACCCACCCTGAGCTCAGGTAAGTCTTTTGCTGATTTGTCGTAGATGAACTTGGAGACCTGTCTTCTGTGACGTAGCTTCACCAGCACGTCTGTCACCACACATGGCTCCAGGAGAGTGCTTGCTACTGGCAGAGCTGCTTTTAAACGCCGTGCCATGAGGCGCTGGGCCGGGCTGCTATCCATGCCTTCTGTCGGGGTATTGCGCCATTGCAGGATTGCTTTCCAGGCATCTTTGCCCTCTCGCAGAGCTTTTTTGCAGAGGTTCTTTGCAATTTTGACTGCCGACTCAGCCTTCCCATTAGCTTTTGGGTGTCGTGGTGATGAAGTGACGTGCTCGAATTCCCATTCTGCAGCAAATTTTCGGAACTCACATCCGGAGAATTGGGGTCCATTATCTGAAATTACCCTATCTGGCTGGCCATAGCGGGCAAACTGAGCCTTGCAGCGTTTGATCGTTGTCTCTGCTGAGAGGTCGGGGAGGAGGTCAATCTCCCAGAAGTCTGAGTAATGATCAACTACCAGCAGAAAGTCTTTGCCACTGTGCTGGAAGAGATCTAGACTTACTATCTGCCAGGGGCGCATTGGTAGCTTGTGGGACATCATCATCTCTCTCTGTTGCTCAATGGCATATTCATTGCAGATTGTGCATTTACTGACATAGTCTTTGATTTCACTCTGCATTCCTGGCCAATACAGTGTGTCACGTGCTTGTCTGTAACAGGCCTCACCTCCTATGTGACTTGAGTGCACGCGCGCCAACATCTCAGGGCGCAGAGACCGGGGAATAACGACTCTCTGACCCTTGAATATTACTCCGTTTTGAACACTGAGCTCTTCTTTGACTGGCCAATATTCTCTGGTGGCTAAAGCAGTTTCTTCCTTGCAGTCGGGCCAGCCCATCAGAATCACAGACCTCAATGCCTGGAGTTGCTCGTCCCTGTCTGTGTGCTGTCTGATTTGTATAAGGCGCTGGTCCGTAACATTGAGGTAGTCAGCCTGGTTGATGTGTTCAACATCCACTTGCTCTGTTTGTAAGCTGCACACTGCGTGTTGTTCATGCATGGAGCGTGTGTGAGTGCCTGATGCAGTAGCCCTGCTGAGCGTGTCACTCACATACATCTCTGGCCCTGGCTTATACACCACCTTGAGGTTGTAGTTTTGTAGGGCCAGTAGCATGCTCTGCAGTCGTTTCGGGGCATTCAGGAGAGGCTTGCTGAATATAGCAATAAGGGGCTTGTGATCTGTCTCTGCTGGTAATATTGTCACGCCCGTACAGGTAGTGGTGGAAGCGTTGGCATGCAAACACAATGCTGAGGCACTCCTTCTCTATCTGGGCATAGTTCTGCTCTGTTGGAGTGAGTGCCCTAGAGGCGAATGCCACAGGCTGGCCCTCTTGCATGAGGCAACAGCCCAGTCCATACTGGCTTGAGTCACTCTGAATCGTGACAGGTTTTGACACATCGTAGTATCGCAGTACAGGTGTCTGGGTGACCAGTTGTTTTATTTCCCTCACCGCTGTGTCATGTTTTGGGAGCCAATGCCAGATGGTGTCCTTGTCCATGAGCCTCCTTAGTGGTTCACACACTTCAGAGAGCCGCGGTAGGAACTTGGCCAGGTAGGTGACGAATCCGACGAAGCGCTGCACTGCCTTCACGTCAGATGGGTGGGGCATATCCAAGACAGCCTTCACTTTTTCTGGATCCGCCTTCAATCCGGTGGAGGACAAGATGTGCCCATGAAAGCGAACCTCTGGCACTTTAAACTGAAGCTTTTTTATGCTTAGCCTTAGCTTGACCTGTCTGCATCTGACCATCAGGGCCAGCAGCTTGGCGTCATGGTCACATTCTGCCTCCTCATCACTGTCCCCACAGCCCACTACGAGGATGTCATCTGCTATGGGTTCCACGCCGCTGAGTCCCATCAACAGCTCGTGCTGTTTCCGCTGATACACCTCTGGAGCCACGGAGACACCAAACGGGAGCTTCAACCACCTCTTCCTGCCCCAGGGTGTCCAAAAGGTGGTCATGTAGCTGCTGGGCTCGTCAAGCTTGCACTGCAGGAAGGCATCTCTGGCGTCCACGAGCGTGAAGACTCTGGCCTTTGGGAGCTTGTAAAGAACATCCTCCAACGTGGGCATAATGTAATGTGAACGTCTCAGAGCCCGGTTGAGGTGTTTAGGATCTATGCATATCCGTAGCTTGTCTGGTTTCTTGACGATAACCATATTACTTATCCAGTCTGTAGGCTCTGTGACGGATATGATGTGGCCATCTGCTTCGTATTTGTCAAGCTGAGCCTTTGTAGCTGCTTTCATGGCCACTGCTACATTGTGGGGTGCACACTGGACAGGCTGGATTGCTGCATCCAACTCAAAGTGGACTTCGCCGGGAACTGACTCGACCGGTGCGTTGAAGACATCATGGTACTTGCTTAGGAGAGTCTCCTTGCTCAGGGGCCCAGCCTGGACTTTGTCTATAATGTTAAGATCAGCTGGGATGGTGAAGTTAATAAGCCCAAGGCGCTCGCATGTAGAACCTGACAGTAATGGCTGTTGACTAGCCTCAACTATTTCAAACTCAAGAGTGTGTTTCTGGCCACGTAAAACACACTCTGTCACAAACAGGCCTAAAGAGGTCATGAACTGGCCTGAATACAGTTTCAGCTTGGTGCTACTCTGTGTGAGTTTGTCTCTGGGCGCGAGCCTCCTTTTATCTTTAAGGCTCATAACGTTACATGTGGCCCCTGAATCTAGCTGGCATTGCTGTGGTTTATTATTAAGTAGCAGAGTGACAAACCATTTTTTTCCTTTTGCCCTTACTGCCCCTATGCACTCGCTAGCATATACATCCTCTGTGCTGTTGTTCCCTTCATCTGTGTTTATTTCAATGGAGTGCACTTTACCCTCCTTTCTCTTGCTTTTCATGCAGGCCCTTGCGAAGTGATTAGCTGTACCACAGGATTTGCATATTTTTCCATAGGCTGGGCAGTGTTCTTTTCCTCGTCCATGAGAAATGCCACAATATCGGCATGCATTGGGGTTGTCTACTGCAGAGTTGGCTGTAGTATTAGCATTAGCTGTGGCAAAAGGGAATTTCTTTATTGGCTGCCTGAATGTAACATTGACATTGTCCATATGTTGCCTTTCTAGCTCCATGGACCTTATCTGTATATCCGTAAGCTCTGCTGCACGGCATGTCTCCACTGCCAAGACTAGTGTCAGGTCACGTTCTCTCAGCAAACGTCTGCGGGTGCCCTCATCAGTTATGCCAAGCACTATCTTGTCTCTGATCAGTTCATCTCTTAAAGCACCATAGTCACATGTAGCTGCCTTTTCCCTTAGCTTAGTGACAAAGCTGTCAATGGACTCCCCGTCCTCCTGTTTGCAACAACCGAAAACATAACGCTCGTAGATAACGTTCTTTGCTGGCTTAAAGTAAAGTTCGAGAGCATCAAGAATAGCTGTAGCGTTACCTTGCTGAGCTGCTGTTAGGTTCAGGTTGTGTTTGTATACGTGTCGGCATTCTGCTCCCATTATAGTCCTCAAAGTGGCAGCCACTACCTCATCGTCCTTTTCCCGAAGTCCCGTTGCTAGTGCATAGTCCTCCCATTCACCTCTAAACGTATCCCAGTTTGTGCTCCAATCTCCGCTGAGCTTCATAACGGCGGGAGGGGAAATGTTCGCTGCCATGTCTAAACGGTGCTAACAACACTGAAGCTAACTAGCAAACTCAATCTAGCTAAGGACAATTCCGGAGAAGTTTTACTCAACTAAGCTTTTTAAAACCAGAACAGGTGACTCTAATTTGCGGAAAGCATGGTTAGTTATCCGACTCTGACACCATGTTTGAATGTTAAATAACGAGGCAGAGGCATTGATGCGAGTAACCAGTCTTGTTCAGTATATTGCAATACATCCGGGTATCTCAAGTACATCGGTAAAACACTGGAGTTGCAGTAATGAACATTTACCAACAGATGGCATCAATGTGCCATCTTCCACCCATAACAATATTGTTGTCCGTTAGTTTAGTCCAGTTAGGGTAGGGATGGTACGGTAAAGGGGAAAAAGTATAGAGAAAAATTAAAAATAAATAAAGGGTATTAGAAATGATGCAAACAATTAAATTGATAGAACCAACAATCTGCAATATTAAAGCTGATCTAAAAATTACAAATAAAAACTGTATCTGTGTCTGCTATTGCTGTCCATTGGCTGGTTCAGTGGTTGTCCCACTGGCTATCATAAGTTGAATGCACCAATTTGTAAGTCGCTCTGGATAAGAGCGTCTGCTAAATGATGTAAATGTAAATGTAATAGAACTGTTGTGGGATCAGGACAGTACGGGAATTTCCTTTATAGGACGTGAATATGAAAATGTATGCACTCACTAACTGTAAGTCGCTCTGGATAAGAGCGTCTGCTAAATGACTAAAATGTAAATGTAAAATGTTCAGGAGCGAGTTTGGTTCAGAGGCGGTCAGAGAAGGGAGGCTGCAGGGCCGGGTCCTGGGGCCAGTCCAGTTAGATCCTGGTCTTGACAAGCCTGGCCAGCCTGTGTTGGGCAGACAGGTGACGAGCGGGGGATGTCCTCCAGGAAGACCACGATGAGGATGTCCCCACCAGCAGACGGAGGGTGGCCAGTCGCAGCTCCAAGGAGCACCAGTTACCGCGCGGGTAGTGACGACTCACCAGACACAGGGTGTAGCTGCTGCCGTAGAGGCTGTCTGTGATGTTGTCCACAATGACCTTCCCCAGCTGGAAGTCCCTGTTGTACAGACTGAGACACAGGAATGGAGGACCCCTCTGCTTGAGGCCTGGCAGCAGCTGCTTCGCCACCCAGTGTTAGTCTCTCCCGCTATACGACACAAAGGCATCGTAAACATTTTTTAAAAGGCATCATAGCGGTATCGCTCCCTGGGGTTGGGCCTCCGCACAGCCTCCTCCATCCAGCCTCGGGCAATGTGACAGAGGGCCAGCAGGTTGTCTCCAGCCAGCTGATTGAGCAGGACCAAAATTATGAAGAGGAGCAGGCTCAGGGAGGTGCATATGAAGAGGAAAAAGCCCATGTCCAGGGAACAGTTGGCCTCTTGGGGAAGCTCTGGATGCCATCTTAATTTTTGCACGTTATCGCCAGCTCCACAGCATGCCATATGATGACCTGGATTTGTCTCTGTCCCCTGGCCCAGTTCTCCAGCCAGGCGTTCTCACAGCTGCAGTGCAGGCGAGGATAGTAGAACTTCACATACCTCAGGCTGGTCTGAGGTTCTGAAAATTTCTCCATCACACTAAACTCCTCTGTCACATCCACATATAGGAGCCTGAGGAAGTGCAGGTCTCTACTCAACTCCTCCCCCAGAGGAAGGATTCTACAGTAGATCAGACTCAAGCTCTCCAGCCTAGTCAGGTTGTGGAAACATGCTGCCCAGTGCTGGCTGCACGATGAGGTCCACGTTCATTAGCTTCAGATCTCTCTGCACTAGTGTGTTCAGGTCAGTCATGTCCGTATGGGGTGCAACATGTCCAAACTCTGTTGAGGAAACCAGCCGGAACTCAATCTCCTGCAGGGAGGTGGAGTACCATTCAAAGAAGTCAGAACAACACAGGAGTCGTCCTATCATGACATTGAGGAAGACAACTGACCGAAATAATGACCTCCAGCAGTCCTGGAAGATCACAGTCGATGGAGAGCTGAGTTTTAAAGCGAAGCCTGGTTTTGGGGCTCTGTCGCTGACAATGATGATGGTAAGAGGACACCAGGAGCTAATGTTCATGTGAGTCAGACCTTGAGGGAAGACACCAAATAAGTGTGTCAGATTCACACTTGTCTCTAACTCACTGGTTGGAGGGCGAAAGTCCAAATTTACTTCCTTCAGCAAAATAAGGTGGATGAATGCAGATGCTTCAATATGTATAAGTGGGTTATCATACAGCAGTAGGGTTTCCAAGCTGTGCAGGCCAAATAAACTTTTCTCAGATGTTATGTAGTTGTTCTTGAATTTAGGATTAAGTAACAATATTTGTGTCATTGAAAATTTCACAAATGGATTCGAAGGAAATCATATATATTCTGCTGATTCCAGACTGCAGAAGCTGTGTCTGTAGCTCACCAATGTCGGGCAAATCGAGAGATGAAATGTTTTCAAAGCTTCGGAATGCTCCTTTCGATAAATTATGTGCATTAGGGAATGAAAAAATTAAAAATTGAAGATGATTGAAATAAGGAAGTTCAAGAATGGCTCCATTTGTGTCTGAGTAATTTTTGTGTCTCAAAATGACTATCCCCTTTGACTCAAAGTCCAGGGTCGTCAATGACCGTGACATATCACCTATCCGACATAGCAAATCAGTAAGCTCCTGTGTACAGCTGCTGACTGTGATTTTCTTCTAAACAGGGATCCCCTCCATTGTGTCTATTACCATCACAGACAGCCTGTAGTTCTAAATGGACAGTTCCTCCAGATTAGCCAGGTCACTGAATGTGTTGGAGGAAATTATGAATTGTAACACTGTAGCTCACAGAAAAGAGAAAGTGTGTTCACACTGGACAGCCCCTTGAAGGTGGCAGGTAGAATCATGGGCAGACAGCCTTTGACATAAAGGATCTCAAGGATGCGGAATCAAGAGTGAGCACCAGGCTGCATCACAGATCCATTCCTGATCTGGATACAGAGGGTCTGGTAGTGAGACGGGATGATGGATAGGTTGAGTTTGAAGTCACATACATCTCAGCAAATGGCAGATAGGCTGTTGTAACGACATTCCATTGGGTGAAAGATATCCCAGGTCCGGACAGACTCATCATATAACACACATTTATTACTCAACCAACCCCAGGATCCAATGATGCAAACCGCTAATTGTCTCAACTGAACACGGTGTAGCCTCATCTTTCTTGTGAAGTGGAGAAATTGGTCATGTAAAATCACATTGTATTTGTCACATGCGCCGAATACAACAGGTGTAGGTAGATCCTCGTACTCCTGAGTGGCGCAGTGGTCTAAGGCACTGCATCGCAGTGCTAACTGTGCCACTAGAGATCCTGGTTCGAATCCAGGCTCTGTCGCAGCCGGCCGCGACCGGGAGACTCATGGGCGGTGCACAATTGGCCCAGCGTCGTCCAGGGTAGGGGAGGGAATGGCCGGCAGGGATGTAGCTCAGTTGATAGAGCATGGCGTTTGCAACGCCAGGGTTGTGGGTTCGATTCCCATGGGGGGCCAGTATAAAAAAAGATGTGTTCACTAACTGTAAGTCGCTCTGGATAAGAGCATCTGCTAAATGACGTAAATGTAAATGTAAACTTACCATGAAATGCTTACTTGCAAGCCCTTAACCAACAATGCAGAGTTTTATTTATTTTTTAAGAAAAAAAGAATTTATATATTTACATTTAAGTCATTTAGCAGACGCTCTTATCCAGAGCGACTTACAGTTAGTTACTTTTACTTATATATATATATATATATATATATATATATATATATATATATATATATATATATATTTTTTTTTTATAAACTAAACTAAAGTAAGAAAAAGTAACAATTAAATTAAAGAGCCTATATACAGGGGGTACCGGTACCGAGTCAATGTGCGGGGGTACAGGTTAGTTGAGGTAATTAAGGTAATACAGTGCATTCAGAAAGTATTCTGACCCCTTGACTTTTCCCCCATTTTGTTAACAGACTTATTCTAAAATGGATGATTTTTTTTTTCCCCTCATCAATCTACACACAATACCCCATAATGACAAAGCAAAATAACAGGTTATTAGACGTTTTTGCACATTTATAAAAAATACATACTGAAATATCACATTTACATAAGTATTCAGACCGTTTACTCAGTACTTTGTTGAAGCACCTTTGGCAGCGATTACAGCCTGGAGTCTTCTTGGGTATGACGCTACAAGCTTGGCACACCTGTATTTGGGGAGTTTCTCCCATTCTTCTCAACAAATCCTCTCAAGCTCTGTCAGGTTGGATGGGGAGCATCACTGCACAGCTATTTTCAGGTCTCTCCAGAGATGTTCGATCAGGTTCAAGTCCGGGCTCTGGCTGGGCCACTCAAGAACATTAAGACTTGTCCCGAAGTCACTCCTGCGTTGTCTTGGCTGTGTGCTTAGCGTCGTTGTCCTGTTGGAAGGTGAACCTTCGACCCAGTCTGAGGTCCTGAGCGCTCTGGAACAGGTTTTCATCAACGATCTCTTTGTACTTTGCTCCGTTCATCTTCCCCTCGATCCTGACTAGTCTCCCAGTCCCTGCCGCTGAAAAACATCCCCTCAGCATGATGCTGCCACCACCATTCTTCACCGTAGGGATGGTGCCAGGTTTCCTCCAGACGTGACGCTTGGCATTCAGGCCAAAGAATTCAATCTTGGTTTCATCAGACCAGAGAATCTGGGGCTGTCATGTGCCTTTTTACAGAGGAGTGGCTTCCGTCTGGCTCAGTTTGGCCAAGTTGTAGAAACATCTCAAGGATGATCAATGGAAACAGGATGCACCTGAGCTCAATTTCGAATCTCATATCAAAGGGTCTGAATACTTATGTAAATAAGGTATTACCATTGTTTATTTTTAATACATTTGAAAATAATTCTAAAAACCTGTTTTCTCTTTGTCATTATGGGATATTGTGTGTAGATTGACGAGGAAATGTGTTATTCAATCCATTTTAGAATAATGCTGTAATGTAACAAAATGTGGAAAAAGGGAAGGGGTCTGAATACTTTCCGAATGCACTGTATGTACATGTAGGTAGGGGTAATGTGACTATGCATACTATTGATAATAAACAGCAAGTAGCAGAAGCGTATAAAAGGGGGTCCATGCAAATAGTCCTGGTATTAGGGAGGTAGCTCAGTTGGTAGAGCATGGCGTTTGCAACGCCAGGGTTGTGGGTTCGATTCCCACGGGGGGCCAGTATGAAAAATTTTAAATAATAATGTATGCACTAACTGTAAGTCGCTCTGGATAAGAGTGTCTGCTAAATGACGTAAATGTAAATGTAAATGTTCTTCGGCTTATCATGAGGTACTCTACTTCACGCAAGGAAAACCTTGAGACTTTCTTATAATTAGAGATCGCGCCCCAGCTGTTATTGACAAATAGACACAGACCACCGCCCCTCGTCTTTCCAGAGGTTGCTGGTCTATTTTACCGATGCACATAACACCCAGCCAATTGTATATTATCCATGTCCTAGTTCAGCCACAACTCTGTGAAATGTTTTTAATGTCCGGTTGGTAGGATAGTCTCGAACAGAGCTCAGCCAGTTTATTCTCCAGTGATTGCATGTTCGCCAGTAGGACGGATGGTAAAGGCGGATTATCCACTCACCGATGAATTCTCACCAAGCACCGGGTCTGCGGCCCCTGTATCAGCGTCTCCTCTTCATGCGAATGGCGGGGATTTGGGCCTGGTCCGGGAGGAGCCGTAAATCTTTCGCCTCCGATTCATTAAAGAAAAAAAATCTGTGTCCACTCCGAGGTGAGGAATCACTGTTCTGATGTCCAGAAGCTCTTTTCGGTCATGAGAGAGTGGCAGAAACATTATGTACAAAAAAGTTGCAAACAACACAAAAAAACACACAGATGGTTAGGAGCCCGTAAAACGGCAGCCATCCCCTTCGGCGCCATTTACCCAGACAGCAAGGTTTATACAAATCTCAGCTTTTAAAGTTTGTTTGCGGAAGAAGAAGAAGTCATTAAAGAAAAAAATAAGCAAACACGTTTGGTGTTTGCCAAAAGGCATGTGGGAGACTCCCCAAACATATGGAAGAAGGTACTCTGGTCAGATGAGACTAAAATTTAGCTTTTTGACCATCAAGGAAAACGCTATGTCTGGCATAAACCCAACACCTCTCATCATTCCGAGAACACCATCCCCACAATGAAGCATGGTGGTGGCAGCATCATGCTGTGGGGATGTTTGTCATCAGCATGGACTGGGAAACTGGTCAGAAATGAAGGAATGATGGATGTCGCTAAATACAGGGAAATTCTTGAGGGTAACCTGTTTCAGTCTTCCAGAGATTTGAGACTGGGACGGAGGTTCACCTTCCAGCAGGACAATGACCCTAAGCATATTGCTAAAGCAACACTCGAGTGGTTTAAGGGGAAACATTTAAATGTCTTGGAATGGCCTAGTCAAAGCCCAGACCTCAATCCAATTGAGAATCTGTGGTATGACTTAAAGATTGCTGTACACCAGCGGAACCCATCCAACTTGAAGGAGCTGGGGCAGTTTTGCCTTGAAGAATGGGCAAAAATCCCAGTGGCTAGATGTGCCAAGCTTATAGAGACATACCCCAAGAGACTTGCAGCTGTAATTGCTGCAAAAGGTGGCTCTACAAAGTATTGACTTTGGGGGGGGGGGGGGGGGGGGGTCTTTATTCAATGACCACCAAACTTTTCCCAGTCTGCTTTATGAAAGCACAATCTTCTGAGTGGTACCCTATCTGTAAAAGTAACAACAAAGTTCATGGTACACAAAATCAGGAAATGATCACTTCCAACAGTAGAATCATTCATTACATTCCAATCATTTATTACATTCCAGATGCAATCGAGTTAGAAGCCAGTGTGAGGTCCAGGCAGGATGTAACCCCTCTAACAACCTCAACTCTTATAACAAATCCATCGTTAAGACATACTAATGCTATTGTTTCCATAATATATTCCACAATAGTACCATTAGCACCTGTATGCGTGCTTCCCCATAAACTATTATGTGCATTAAAGTCACTGCACCATATCTCTCTAGAGCCCAATTCTGCTGATATTTCATCAAACATTGCTACAGATAGTTGACGACAAGGGTTGTAATAATGTTGCAACTTAATATTACTACCTGCACTGTAGATTTCCACCATCACACATTCATATTCAGATGGGACAGGTATATTATAATATACAAGACCTTCCCTTATGAAAGTAGCACACCCACCACCCTGTCCAATTGATCTATCAGATCTGATTGAACAATAACCAGGAATACAATCAAGATGTGGTCTAAGCCACGTTTCTTGAACACATATCACATCAGGTTTGATCTCTAAATCAATTACATATTTCTTAATCTCCTGACTGTTAGCAATAAGGCTTCTGGCATTCCACTGAAGGATGACAAAAACCATAACTCTAATTATCATCATACTGAGACATTCCATCATTAGTATTATTAGGAGTCAACATATCAACAATCATGGCGACAGTTACATCTGAAACTCCTAAAAACTCTGTTGCTGCTTCCACAATGGTCTTCAACTTGGCAGTTCTTCTTTCGACAAACGCAGTCAGTTTGATAAGCTTTCCAGTGAAGGCT